AGTGAACCTCCACCACGTCTTCAGGTGATGTATAATATTAATATAATTATTAACTTTATATTTAAAACATGTATATATTATTTATTTATATAAATTCTATGGTATTGACAGGGAAAATTTACTGCAATTGTGGTTTGTTGGCTTCTTGGCAATGGAGTTCTTTTCTGTTGGAATAGTATGCTCACAATTCAAGATTACTATGTTTCCTTGTTTCCGGTAATTTATCTACTTTCTGCTGCATTGTTTTTATTTTATTTATCATACTATCATGTATCTAAGTTAATCTGGTTTAGCAGAATCCAATTTGGTATAATTTCATTTTTTTTTAATTTACTTTCTTTTTCTCCCTGTGCAGAATTATCATCCCTCTAGAGTGCTTAGTCTTGTATATCAACCCTTTGCATTTGGAACACTAGCAATACTAGCTTATAACGAGGCGAAAATCAATACAAGGCAGCGGAATCTATTCGGATACACGCTTTTTGTCTTCGGCGTTTTGGCTGTGTTAATTGTAAATCCTGTCCGTTTGTTTGTAAGCTTATGATTTCCCAAAAATATAGATTTCGGTTTTGATTTATGTTATATTTTTGCTTTAGTTGGATTTAGCAACGTCGGGTAAAGGAGGGATTGGAACTTACATTGGTATATGTATAGTTAGTGGTGTGTTTGGAATAGCAGATGCTCATGCACAAGGTGGAATGGTTGGAGATTTGTCCTACATGCATCCCGAACTTCTTCAGGTCATAATCGCAAAATCGAATTTATGATGATAATGAAAATTTTTTTTTAGCGTTTTTCGTTGTTGCAGTCTTTCCTTGCTGGTGAAGCAGCATCGGGCGCGCTAACATCTGGTTTGAGGTTGATTACAAAAGCTGCATTTGAAAATTCTCAGAACGGTCTTCGCAAAGGAGCAAGTAAGTTCAACACTCTAATAACTTTGCATCATTGAGTATGATTATTATTGTACTTACTTGCATACCAAGATACTGATAATTTGTAATTGTAATTCTTCTGCAGTTCTGTTCTTTTCTATATCAACATTCTTTGTGGTTCTTTGTCTTGTTCTCTATGGATTTGTGTTTCCTAAATTACCAATTGTCAAGTACTACCGATCAAAAGCAGCATCCGAAGGGTCCAAAACGGTTTCATCTGACCTTGCTGCAGCCGGCATCCGTTCTGTACAGCTTCTTTTGCTTTGTTTCTTCTATTCTCATTTTAGTTTCCTTTTTCATTGAAATTCCTAACTTTTGAGATTTTCTTTCTTCAGGAAACCGAAGAATCAAGACAATTTGAGCGCAAAGAAAATAAAGAATTGTTATTGGAAAACATTGATTATGCACTTAATTTGTTTACGATATATGTGTTGACATTGTCTATATTTCCTGGATTCTTATCTGAAGATACCGGAAAACACAGTTTAGGCACATGGTAAGTTCATTGACAGCATTGTTTCTCTACTTGGAATTTTCCATCCTTTTAGTATATCATCATTTTGAATCTCTAAATGTGCGAGTTTATATTCTGTTTGTAATCTTTTTAACCAAGTTGATATTTCCATTTTTTATTACAGGTATGCTCTTGTTCTAATAACTATGTACAATGTGTCGGATCTTATAGGAAGATACATTCCACTGATTAAAATCCTGAAGTTGGAGTCGAGAAAGCTGATCACTACAGCATCCGTTTCTCGGTTTTTATTTATTCCTGCATTCTATTTCACTGCAAAATATGGTACTCAGGGTTGGATGATAATGTTGACATCTTTGTTGGGATTGTCAAACGGTTACCTCACTGTTTGTGTTTTCACTTCTGCACCAAAAGGTTACAAGGTGAGTATAACTTTATATAGATTTAGAGATATTTAGACATGGATTGATTAAGTTAAATGTTTTAACTTTTGTAGGGACCTGAACAAAATGCGTTGGGAAATCTCTTGGTATTGTTTATTCTTGGAGGTATTTTTGCTGGGGTAACACTTGACTGGTTGTGGTTAATAGGCAAAGGATGGTGAGATCTTGGTAGAGCTAATTCCAGTTTTGGCCAGTTTTTTCTCAATTTTTTTAGGACTATTGTTTCTAACTCGTGCCACTTATAATTGATTAACAATCTTATGTTACATTCTAATCGTTGGTGCTCAACATGCTCTATTATACAGCACAAATGCAGGATCACAAGAAAATACATACACTTATTCATTCCGCAAAAACTTTGTATACCAACACGGTCGCATAACGTTTTAGAGATTTTGATTGGTACAGATGTCGTGATATTGATTAGGATTGTTGCAATGTTAATTAACACAACTTATTCTTTGTTGTGAATTCAATGCCAATAACAAAGTATAGAATAAGGGAGGAATAAGGAACAAGGAAGAGGAAGAACACAAGAATTGGTTATAACTGCTATTCTTTACTTTCTCTTAGAAAACAAGATTACAAGTTTACAAGAATAACAAATAACCCTCTCACCCTAAATTAGGATTTGCTGTGATGCAATGATGAGAGACTAGTATGCTATTTATAATAAAACCTAACATACTAACTAATGGGCTTTTTCCACAAGGCCCATTATACAAGCTAACTTAACAAACAAGCTAACTTAACAAATTAGGGTTTAAACACTAAAACCTAATTCGACAAGCATCCTTCGACACATATATGCTAGAACCTTCTTCGACTACAGCAAGTACTTCGACCAACTAGAGTTCGATCCAAAATCCCACAAATCTCCACCTTGGACCTAACTCTACAGCATCAAGAGACACTAACTAGCTTTCTTCATGCAGCTTTATCAACTGCATACAGTGGAAAAACTTGCAACTTGGCAATGTTTTGGTGATCATATCAGCGGCATTGTGTTCTGTCGAGACCTTCAGCACTTGGACTTCTCCACGCTCGATTACCCCTCTGACGAAATGCAGCCTCACATCTATGTGCTTGGTTCGCTCATGATAGGCTGAGTTCTTCGACAGGTGTATTGCACTTTGACTATCACATTTAACAGTGATACCTTGACCTTGAAGTTTCAGTTCCTTTGCAAAACCTTCAAGCCACAATGCTTCTTTCACAGCTTCAGTTAGGGCAATATATTCTGCTTCAGTAGTTGATAAGGCAACAACCTTCTGAAGAGTTGCTTTCCAACTAATTGCTGTACCAAACATAGTGAAAACATATCCAGAAATAGATTTTCTGGAATCCATACAACCTGCATAATCGGAGTCAACATAGCCTTCGACTGCTGCTTTACTATCTTCACCCAAGGCTCCACCATAAATTAAGACTCTGTTCAGAGACCCATTTATGTACCTTAAAATCCACTTTAACGCTTGCCAGTGAGCCTTTCCAGGATTCGCCATGTACCTGCTTACAAGACTTACTGCATATGCTATATCGGGTCTAGTACAGACCATAGCATACATCAAAGAACCAACTATATTAGCATATGGGATGCTATTCATATAGGTTCTTTCGACATCAGTATTGGGACATTGATCAATACTCAGCTTGAATTGAGGGTTTGTTGGAGTCACAACAGGCTTCGAGTTCGACATACCAAACTTGTCAAGGATCTTTCGTAGGTATGCCTCTTGAGATAAGCATAATTTCGACTGCTTTCTATCTCTTCGAATGTCAATTCCAAGAATCCTAGATGCAGCTCCCAGATCCTTCATGTCGAACTCCTTATTGAGTTCAGCCTTCACCCTCATTACATCTTCGACATTGTTGCTTGCTATCAGAATATCATCAACATAAAGCAACAAAATAACAAATGAATTTTCAGTTCGAAATCTGGAGTAAACACAATGGTCGAACTGACTTCTAATGAAACCTATGTGTTCCATGAACTTGTCGAATCTCTTATTCCACTGTCGAGGAGATTGTTTAAGTCCATATAAAGATTTCTTCAGTTTGCACACATAATCTTCTTTCCCCTTTTCGACATACCCTTCAGGTTGCCTCATCAGGATTGTTTCATCTAAGTCACCATACAAGAACGCAGTCTTCACATCCATTTGTTCCAGTTCAAGGTCGAACTGAGCCACCATGGCAAGCAACATTCGGATGGATCTGTGCTTCACAACAGGGGAAAATACATCATTGAAGTCGACACCTTCTTTCTGAGTGAAACCCCTTGCGACTAATCTTGCCTTGTACCTCTTCGACATTACTCCTTCAATTCCTTCCTTAACTCTGAAAATCCACTTACAGCTGACTAACCTTGCCCCAACAGGTTTCTTGATTAGTTCCCAAGTGTGATTATCATGAAGAGATTTCATCTCATCATCCATGGCCTTTAGCCATTCAGTCTTCATTCGACTCCTCATAACTTCCTTATAATCTCTAGGTTCTTCGTCTAGAACTTCACTTGCAGAGATTAAGGCATAAGCTACAAGGTCTGCATATCCAAGTCTCTGAGGTGGTTTTATGACTCTTCGTTGCCTATCTCTCGACAATAGGTAGTCATCAACAGTTTCCTCAACATCATCAGAATCTTCTGTTTCTTCTTCGACTTCATCTGGGATACGCATTTTAGCATCAACATGCTCCACCTCAACAGGAATCTCTACCTGTTCCAGCTCTTCGTCAACATCATCAGTTTTCTTGAAAGCCATTTCAGTTTCATTGAAAACTACATCTCGACTGGTGATACACCTCCTGTGACCTGGCTCTAGGCACCATAGCTTATAAGCTTTCACTCCTTCAGGGTATCCCATAAACATGCATTTCAGAGCTCTAGGTTCGACCTTGTCTTGCCTAATGTGAGCATAGGCTACACAGCCAAATACTCTTAGTTTGTCGAGATCTGGTGGATGTCCCGACCAAACTTCTTCAGGTGTCTTCATATCTAACGCTGTCGAAGGACATCTGTTTATCAGATATGCTGCTGTCGAAACAGCCTCAGCCCAAAACACCTTCTTTAATCCCGCACTAGTCAACATGCATCTAACTCTCTCCAAAATAGTTCGATTAAACCTTTCAGCCAAACCATTTTGTTGTGGAGTACCTGCGGTAGTTCTGTGCCTTGCAATACCAGAGGCAACACAAAAACTGTCGAACGCCTCATTGCAAAACTCAAGGCCATTGTCGGTTCTCAACCTCTTTACCTTTCTGCCAGTTTGATTTTCGACAAGAGTCTTCCAACTTTTGAAATTCTCAAAAGTTTCATCCTTAGTCTTCTGGATGAATACCCATAACTTTCTGGAATAGTCATCTACTATGGATAGAAAATACTTTGCTCCTGAATGTGATGGACACCTTGCAGGCCCCCAAAGATCAGCATGGATGTAATCAAGGGATCCATGTGTTCTTTGTTTGCCTTTGTTGAACTTCATTCTACAGGACTTTCCAAGTACACAGGGTTCACAAAACTTCAGCTTTTCGACTTTATCTCCACCAAGCAGATTTTGTTTCCCTAATTCAACCAGACCCCTTTCACTGACATGGCCCAATCTCATGTGCCAAATTTCTGTTTTCGACAAAGGTTTCGTGGATGCAACATTTGTCGAACCACTTACAACTTCAGCCTCAAGGGTATACAAGCCTTGTTTCTTCACGCCTCTCAAGACTTCCTTCGACCCTTTCATGACTCTTAGGATACTTTTCTCTCCTTGAAAAACATATCCTTTCTTGTCGAATTCACCAAGAGAAATCAAATTTCTCTTCAAATCAGGTACATACCTGACTTCAGTCAACAATCTTATTGACTCATCATGGAGCTTGAATCTCACAGATCCAACGCCTGCAATCTTGCAAGCTTTGTTGTTTCCCAGCAATACAGATCCACCATCTTGATCACATAATTCCTCGAACAAGTCTTTGTTTGGAGTCATGTGCCAAGTGCATCCAGAATCCATAATCCATTCCTTCGACGAGTTTTTGCTTGAAACCACAAGAACATCAGATGATTCGAAATCATCTTGGACAATAGCTGCGTTGCCATTATCCTTACCTCCATGATCTTTCAGGCGTTCAGGGCACACCTTTCTTGTGTGACCTACTTTCTTACAGTGATAGCATCTAATACCAGATGCATCACCACTATAAGATTTCGACTGATTTTTACCTTTCCTCTTGTCGAATTTTCCTTTAACAGCCAAGCCTTCACCAACCGTCGAAGGTTTATGCTCCTTACGTTCGTTCAAGTCCTTAGAGTACAAAGCTGATTGAACTTCTTCAAAGGTCAGGGACTCTCTTCCATACAAGAGGGTTTCTTTGAAGTGAGCATGTGATCTGGGCAAAGCGCACAATAATAACAGCGCTTGATCTTCATCATCAATCTTTACATCAATATTTTCAAGATCAAGAATCAGCTTGTTGAACATATCCAACTGCTCAGCCAACACTTTGTCTTCAATCATCTTGAATGAATACAAAGCTTGCTTCAGGTAGAGTCGATTTACCAGAGATTTGGTCATATACAAACTTTCAAGTTTCACCCATAACCCTGATGCCGTCGTCTCCTTTGATACCTGTCGAAGAACCTTATCACCAAGGCTCAACAAAATTGCGCTGTGTGCTTTCTCGATCATGGCCGTCTTCTCTCTTTCTGTTAACGCAGCGTCCATCGTCGTCGCTCCCTTCAACGCTTCCAAACAACCCTGCTGAACCAGTAGGGCTTTCATCTTCAAGCGCCATAGACCGAAATCATTCACTCCGGTGAACTTTTCAATCTCATATTTTGTTGAAGGCATCTTCTCCACGCTCACCGCACCAATTTGTTGTGAATTCAATGCCAATAACAAAGTATAGAATAAGGGAGGAATAAGGAACAAGGAAGAGGAAGAACACAAGAATTGGTTATAACTGCTATTCTTTACTTTCTCTTAGAAAACAAGATTACAAGTTTACAAGAATAACAAATAACCCTCTCACCCTAAATTAGGATTTGCTGTGATGCAATGATGAGAGACTAGTATGCTATTTATAATAAAACCTAACATACTAACTAATGGGCTTTTTCCACAAGGCCCATTATACAAGCTAACTTAACAAACAAGCTAACTTAACAAAT